CAACAGGTCGCTACATTCGGTTACAGAGTTTAGGCCGGTAGAGGTCATCCACGCCAGCAGCGATGAGATGAAGCTGGCAATTAAAGCCAAGATTAACAAGGCACAACAATCAAACCTAGACAGAGTCTTCGAAGTCGGTGAAAGAGTGCACCTACGCAACAACAAAAGATTAGGGAACAAATTAACTCCGCTTTATTCAGAAGAGCGTGTAGAAGCAGGTCTGGGAACATCTGCTTTTATTAGGGGGAGGGTGGTCCACAAGGACAACATTAGATAGGCATTTCATCTGCCACAGTCGCCCTTATATTAAAACCCAATCGTTTCTATAATTCCCACAGGCTCGCCATTATATCCATCATACTGCTGTCCACCGCAAGCGCAAGAATCACCGATTTCTCGCACGCTAAATACATCCCGGTGCTAGACGGCAACGTTTTAGTATGGGAACAGTACGGCCTGGTCAGGCACTCGACAAATCTGTCCGAGTTTGCCAGCATAATTGACTCCACTTCCCACATTCCCACATGAGGAAGCTGCTGGAAGTGGACATTGAACATGCACAGAACCTTCTGGAGGAACTTAAGATACACCATAGAATGGCCAGGAGCCTTGATTTTTTGGGCTCAGTCCTTAAGGTCGTGGCGGGTACACCCGACGCGGATGATCTAAGTAGAATTAACACCAATCAAGCGTCGCTTATTGTAAGCGAGCACTCTCAATCTGAAACTCAAATAATAAAGAACAATATTGGCCTGTTGGTCATCGGATATATTTCGTGTTCATTTATACTTAAAACAACTAACTGAAATATCTCGGGGCAACTTCAGATCGTACACTAATAATAGACAGGTTATAATTAACACAGAGACACAGAAACACATCAATCTACTCACAGACACGGTAAACAAGATCCTAAGGGAGAAAAAGGACGGGCTTGATGACTCAGGTCATTTGTTCGAAACACTCCTTGCCAGAAATAGAATGTTAATATCCGAAATCCAAAATTGTATGTTCACTATCACGCTTGCTAAAAATAATATCATCAATCCTAGTATTTTCAATCATAATGACCTAAAGGCTATTTTTGACGAACAGCTCACAGAGGTCCCAATAGTTAGCCTTATGGATGTATCTAAGATTAAGATTTTTCAAAATAATGCTCTTGTCCACGTTATAGTCCAGTATCCTAGAGTTAAGCGTATTTGGAAAAAAGTCCTGCTCTTCCCTGTCGCACACTACCATACTATGCTACAAATAGAAGACAACATCGTGGCGGAATGTGATGACGGAATCCTAGCAGTCTCCGAATGCGCTTCTACCAACTTGGCCACATTTTGCAAAATGTGCACCAGGCAATTACATGCAGCCGGGGCGGCTACGTGCCGGACGCGGTCCAGCAATCTGGAACCCCTTACAATTGTGGACGATGGAGTAATAATCGTCAACGAGAAACTAACGAGGATTACCATCGATGACGGCCCCACAACAACCATAGTAGGGAGCCCGGGTATTGCGGCCTCCCCCTTAATTAACATCACGGGACACGATCACATGCTGAGCCTGCCAATGTTACAGCGGATGAACGAGCATAACCTGCGTTTAATGCAGGAGCTCAGAGATGACGTGTCGGCTGGAGGTTCTCCGAGGATATGGTTCGCCGCAGGAGTCGCGGGTTGGTCCTGCTCCAACAACACTGCAAGCGCAAACTAGAGGCAGCCCAGCTACAAAAGTCCATCGACGAATTGGCTGTCACCGAGGACGGCGTCCAATTTAAGGGGGGAGTAGTTAACAACCAACTCCCAGCTTAGGCTGAGCAGGCCAATTCTTATTATAGACGTTGTTAACGCCATTTACTGCGACCACTCCGCACTAGCATGCATCCAACATTCCTTGGTGACCGAATTCCCAGCAACCAAGTTCTGGCATTGCAAAGAATTCGTGAATGACATCACGGATGCAAATGAACAAAAAGAAATAATTATCTGCGAACACAACCGCGCTCACAGGGCAGCCCAGGAAAATGTTAAACAAGTCCTTCAGGATTACTACTTTTCAAATATGTCCAAACTCGCCAACGAAGTGGTTGTAAACTGCACGACATGCACCAAGCGGAAGTACAACAGACACCCCAAGAAGCTAGAGTTAGGTATCACATCAACCCCCTCATATGCTGGCGAAATGCTGCATATTGACATATACTCTACGGATAACAGATTTTTTTTAACCTGCATAGATAAATTTAGTACAGCCATTACTTTCTGGGGCCATAGTCGATGTGCGCACCCCCACATTACAACTAACAAATTTTTTCCCAAACATTAAAACAATATATTGTGATACTGAGGCGTCTTTCAACTCGGAGACTATAACCTCATTATTAAAAAATCAATATGACATTGTTAATGCACCCCCTCTACACAGCGGCTCAAACGGGCAAGTGGAGCGATTCCACAGTACCCTAACTGAGATAGCTAGGTGCATGAAAATCGACCAAATGGTTGACGACACCGTTGAGCTTATTATGAGAGCCACGGTAGAATATAACAAGACAATACATTCAGTGACAGGACTGACACCTAAGCAGGCCTTGCACTTAGCTAATGCCGAACAAAAATTGGCAATAATAGGTAATATTGAAAAGGCACAACAGTCCAATCTAGACAGGTGCAACCCTACTAGGCAAAACTGAATTTTTGAGGTAGGAGAAAAAGTATACCTCAAAAATAACAAAAGGTTAGGAAATAAACTAACCGCACTGTACACAGAAGAGCGTGTACAAGCAGACATGGGAACGTGTGTCCGTATTATACCCTTGTAGAGGGTATTATAATTTCAGTCAGATGTTTGCAACGCAGTGAAGGAGACGCTTCCGACCACATAAAGTATATATATTCTTGATCAGCACCAATAGCCGAGTCTATCTAGCCATGTCCGTCTGTCCGTTTCTATGCGAACTAGTCTCTCAGTTTCAAAGCTATCGCGATGAAACTTTCCCGAAAGTCTTCTTTCTATTGCAGGTAGTACATATGTCGGAGCAAGCCGGATCGGACCACTATATCTTAAGGCTCCCATAGGAATATTCAAACATATATAAGAAAATTCATTGTTACTTTGTAGGAAGTAGGCGTTTTAATTCCTGACTACTTAAAAACAAAATTCAAAAATAGAAACGCTGAATCTGGAATCCCTGGAAGTGCACTGAGTGAGTATTACTTTATCTGCAAGGGTATATAAGCTTCGGCTGGCCGAAGGTAGCTTCCTTTCTTGTTTTCATATATACTGACACCTTAGCATAGTCACTCCATTTTATACACAGTAGATTTAACCTTTCGTCTTCTTACAGGATCGCGGGAATTTTATTGATAACGTTAACTGTAGTTAACGCTAGAGTAACGGATTATTCGCATGCTCAGTATATCCCAATTTCGGACGGAATTGCGTTGGTATGGGAAAGCAAAACAGCCAGTAATTGAGGGGTAGAGGTAAAGAAATACACATTACAAAACGCTAAGAAAAAATGTTTCGAGCGACTTGTCCCGAGCGACATGTCCCGAGTGAATGTGGTTGAAACTGCATAAAACAAAAACGGCAAACCATTTTTGAGTAAAACCAAAACCATTTCACAGCGACATATTTGGACATTCTAAAAAAAATCGCATTCAAATGTTCCATCAGAATTCGCTAAATTCTAGTGTTAAATGAACTTCCCCGAAAATCACTTCTATTTTTGTCCCAAGCGAATACGGCAGTTTTTTAACGATATCTTAAGTACTAAAAGTGGTACAAAATCAAGATTTTTACACAAAATAGAGCTTGAGAAGAGTGAAAAGGAAAGCCCATTATTAAAAATAAAATCATTTTTTTTCCATTTTTTTTTCAACTTTAAAGGTGTGCAAATGTCCCGAGCGACAGTATGGAAGTGCCCATATATATACTAGAGACCTGCACGATACGATGCCGATTCCACGAGTAAAAGTAATCAAGTTGGCGATGCCACGATTATTTTTTGTAATCATGTAATCGTGTCAAACGATGCCGAGTATACTCGGGCTTTCCTTTTCACTCTTCTCAAGCTCTATTTTGTGTAAAAATCTTGATTTTGTACCACTTTTAGTACTTAAGATATCGTTAAAAAACTGCCGTATTCGCTTGGGACAAAAATAGAAGTGATTTTCGGGGAAGTTCATTTAACACTAGAATTTAGCGAATTCTGATGGAACATTTGAATGCGATTTTTTGAATGCGATTTTTTTTAGAATGTTGTCGGCATCGTAGAATCGTACGAGTAGCATCGTAGCATTGCCAACAAATTTCAAATTTGACATTTAAAAATAAATTTCAATAAAATTTCCTCTTCTTCTAAAGAATTCGCGGGTACATTTTTTTAGAATTCGTGAATAGAAAAACCTAGTTAAAGACAACAAATCCATACGTGTTTTGGACATGGTCCTTTATTGGTTCTTCTTCTTCCAAAGAATTCGCGGTCTCATTTTGGTTAAGATTCCGTGTATGTCGGGTTCAAAGACGGTAAAACACAAAAAAAAATTCTCTTGTGCCAAAGAATTCGCGGTCTCATATTGTCAAAGAGTTAATCTATGGTCATAAGTAGATAAGACTAACAATTGTGAAATCTTGGTTATATTGGTTCCTCTTGTTGATTTTGGTTGATTTTCTTTAATAAAAAACACGAGTCAGATATGAGTAAAACGATGCCGATGCCTACGATTCTACGATGCCACGATTCCAGATTTGACAGTTGGAATCGGCATCGCCGAGTAGTAATCGAGTATATTTTTACTTACTCGTGCAGGTCTCTAATATATACACAACAAAATTGCATTTATACTTCTCGGAAATCTTTCAAGACAGACAGACTCTACGAGTAACGGATATAAAAATATGTAAAATAGGAAATCATAAATGTTTATTCTTTCTATTGTTTATTTGCTTTTAATTTGGATACCCATCGAGGTAATTATTAGGATGGAATCCTAATTCGGCTAATTTAAGACGACCTTAATTTTGGCCTTTCGATGATTGGATGTCAGCAGGTAAAGTTTTGTCAGCATTTTATCCGCATCAGCCGTGTTCATGGCGAACACTTGGACCATTCCCGACTCGTGAAGTCGAGCTGACACTCCTGGCAATTCCTTATCCACATAGTAGACGTATTGCATCTCACTAAGAAATGGACCTGGAGAAAGGGCGCAGGTCCCACTAAATTCTGCCAAAGAAACTCTCCAGGGAAAGAAGGCAACGGAGAAGAGACGTAGATGCAAAAGATTGTGGTGGGGTTCGGCCTTGAAGTTCTCCTTTCCCAGAATTTTGGCCACGATATCGCGTTGGGTCTCGGACAGCATGGCTTTACCTCTTCCGTTTATAATCATCAAAGTGCCATTGGCCCAAATCCAGCCTATTTCGGTGGACCCATATCGCACCTCAATAACATCTTTGACGCTATTGTAAACAGCGTTATCGAGGCTCTTTGCAGCTATTTGAAGATTCAAATTCGTGTTCATTTGCACGGTGCAGAACACTTTGCAGTAGTTTATTACAATGGGCAAGCGCAGGCACTCGACATTTCGCTTTGTAGGACGTCTTAGGATTCTGATCTTCTGGAGGCACTTCTCCTGATGAACTGGTAAGGGCGGAAGCGGCAAAATTCTCTTCAGATTATCCGAGCCATATTTTAGTTTCCACTTGGAGTGGAGTACTTCGGCATGGAGATCCTTGTATTCTGTCATGTAGTGGTCGAGAATGTTCTCGAAGTCGTCGAGGCGAATTGTGGAAGTCATTCCGTGATAATTTCGTGGCATCATTATATCCTTGTTTAGCTCGTTTTCGAAATCAATGGGTCCTGGTTCTGTAGAGGCTGGCTTGGAGCACTCCTCGTTGTAAATTAAATGAAATTGCTGGGAAACAGTCTCATTACATAGCTGTAGCCAGTCCTGGCTAGCTGCCTCGTCCTGGGGTTTTGGCGGTACTGATCCAATATCTTTAACCTCAAGAATAATCGGACGTTCTGGTTCTTTGGCTTGGGGATCCTTGTATTCAGTCATGTTTTGTTCGAGAATGTTCTCGAAGTCCTCGAGGCGAACTGTGGAAGTCATTCCGTGATAACTTTGTGGCTTCATTAGAACCTTGTTTAGCTCGTTTTCGAAATCAATGGGTCCTGGTTCTGTAGAGACTGCCTTGGAGCACTCCTCGTTCTCAATTAAATGGAATTGCTGGGAAACGGTCTCATTACATAGCTGTAGCCAATCCTGGCTAGCTGCCTCGTCCTGGGGTTTTGGCGGTACTGATCCAATATATTGAACCTCAAGAATAATCGGACGTTCTGGTCTAAGCTCATTCAGTGAAACTGCTTTAAATGGATCTACAATATTTATCGCAGGAATGTCTTCATCGGATACCAGCTCTATATCATCGTGCACTTGCTTCACTTGCGCGGTACGAACATTTTTGGGCTTCAACAGCTCCAAGATGATGTCCCGATTTTTTTCAGGGTCTCTGGCTAAGCTCAATAGCATATCATATTCCTCTATATCACTCAAAGGTTCGAGAAGTTTTTCCGATTCTATCCAATCCTTCATGGCCCGCTCTTCTTCAGCACCGATAGTCATGTGCTCGAAGACGAAATCTTCATCGTGAGAATTTCGGTTCTGCTGGGTGTCATTATTAAATTTGCTGTCCATGTCCCAATAGATCAACCCCTCCGCAGGATTTTTTTCTTGAGACTCAACTATTTTCGACGGAGTCTCCATGGACGTCAGACATTCCACAATTTTAGGAGGTGGAGTCTTGGGTCTTATCGGACTTACCATACAACACAAGGGCCACTCTGCTTCTGAGGGCGGAACCAAACCCTTTTTAAGGTCCTCGTACATTTTCCAGATATCCTCCGACGAGGGCAGATCAATAGGCGATATGGGTCGAAAGTTCTGGGCAATTGACGACTCTGGCTCCACTTTCGGTGGTGGCTCTATATCGACAGGAGGTTTTTGCACTATCTTGCTACTTTTTGCCGACTCTTTCACCTTGTTCTTGGTGTGCAGTCGTCGCTTCCTTACTTTCCTAGATGCCATTGACGGTGGCACTGGTGTCACGTCGGAAATCGCGGGCATGGGCTCAGAACTCTCGTCGACATTGGCAACACACAACTTGGTGGGCAGCGGTTTTGAAATCGGGGCACTAAAATGGTTATCAAAATGTATACTTATTTACCACATTTATTTCACATAGCTTACCAGGATAAAGGAGGTCGGAAGGAGGTGTCTGTCTGTGTGGAAAAGTTTATTTCTGGTTTTTCTAAGGGCAGAGAGTCGCTAAATAAAAGAAAAGAGGGATACATGTTATTAAAGTTGTTTGGACTTAAAATAAGTTTTTGATACCGCTTTTTTCTGGACGAAATATTCCGAGGGGTTTTCTGCTTTGGTCGCGCTGTCTTAGTAATCTTTCTCTTGCCTCTCTTGGTATCCATATATTCATGGCTGGTTGAGGGTTCTTCTTTTCTGGTTCCTAATTTATTTTCTTGATTTCTGTCCTCCAACTCAAGTTTCTTGAGCATATCATCGCTAAACAAATGCTTCATAAACTCTTCATCCACATCACTATCAGAATCTGATAAATTCATGATTATAACGTTCCTTCCCGATTCGACGAAAGTCCCAGGTCTGCTTTCGAGAAAATGAATTATCAGACGTCAGATTTCCTTATTTTTCAACAGTGTTGCTGCGTTACCAACTGTCAATTGATTAACTTAGGTCCCAGGTCTGCTTTCGAGATAATGAATTATCAGACGTCAGATTTCCTTATTTTTCAACAGTGTTGCTGCGTTACCAACTGTCAATTGATTAACTTAGGAAAACTTATCTTTGGCATCAAAAAATCAACTTTTCGGTTTTTTTTAACTAGTTAGATGGATTTAATTTAAAATTGTTGGATATTATTAAGTGTCTTTTAAATAAGAGAGACTAATTTTTATAGCCGATACTATCGGCTAATATATCGGTGGCAAAGCAAACTCTATTCCATTTTGTTTTTACATTTCGCTTAAAAATTAAAACAACCCGTCCCCTGGGAATTTCGATTTTAAATTATATAAGACCATACTTCTCCCTTAAATGCAGTCCTTTATTTATTTATTTCTATTATACATTTAATTTCAATATTCGATTAAGTGCACTATTATTAATCAGGAAGATGTACCTTACCAGAAAACCAAGGTCTTCTTCGACGAGGATTTTGTCGACTTTATCTTGTAAGCTGGTTAAATTTGCAGATAATAAAGTATAAGGCACTTGCTTATTAATTTTTTTTTGTAATTACGTAAAGTAATTTAAAGCATACAATGAACAATAGATACAATGAATAGTTAAAATTAGTTCCATTCAAGATATAATTCGCAGAATTGTTTTTCCATCAGAAAAATCTCTACAATTTTGGGATTTTCAACATTGGCGTCGAATTCCAAAGACATGGGCAATGGTTCACAATGAGGACTATTTTTTAGGAATGCCGTGATGTATTGAGAGTAGATTTCAGCAAAAATAATTAAAGTAAGTCCAATTATATCGGCCACATAATTCGAAATGTCGGCAAACATCGGATTTTTATATTCTTAGCTATACCGCGGAACCTGTAGGTGATGGGATATAAGTTTGTAAGGGACTTTTACTCAGGAGCACCCAATTATCATGGAAAACTAGAAATGGTTCGTGGAAATTTTTTGCTGTGTACCTGTGTTATCTTTATTGATCATAAAAATTGTGACATCACCTAGCCAACTGTTGGAAATGAGTTCCGAATATACTCGTACATTGGGTACCGCGGCTACTATAATAGCTTTTCCCTATTTGTTGCAATGAATTAATGGAGAGAAATCTAGACAGAAGGTCTCAAGGTATAAATTCTCCAGTTCTGTTACGGATATTGGTAGATTGACTTTGGATAGCAAATATTTTACTTTAATAGCGAAATGGGGTTCTCTTGAAAGAGTAGTTAACATCGCCTGTGTTGTGATCATGGTGCAATTGTACATATATAAAACAGGGCTAAACAGGACCCATGAACCAGCTGAAAAGGCCTATAACACCCGCAACAAACCGGTGGAATTTTCCGTTGGACAAGTTGTCTACCGAAAAAACTACCGGCAGAGTAACAAAGCTAAGGGATACAAAGCCAAGCTTGGCCCGAATCGGGTTCGCTGTGTTGTACTTCAGCGCAAGGGCAAGGCGTTATACGAGCTGGGAAATGTCGTTGGGAAGAGTGTTGGCATATTCCATGCCAAAAACCTCTATTTCGCTTGAACTCCCTCTGGATGAAATTCGAGGATCGGTCCCACTTCAAGAGAGGGAAAAGCTCGGAACGTCGGAATTGAACAGTGAACATGGAACTGGGAGAGCGGGTCCGCTATATAAACCTCTACAAGGGACTGCTGTCATTCAGCATGATGAAGACCACTCTCGAACAGCTACAAGAAATTACCGAGACCGCTCGTAAGGTGCAAGCCTTACGGGGGTCTATCGAAGAATGGGACCACCGCGTGACGGTGGTCTCCACCAAAATAAAGGAGGCACATGACAGCATGCGTGCAGACTTCCACTGCATCCAGCAGCTGTGGACGGAAGTCCATTAATTCAGGAAAAAGGAGCCGGACCGGCGAAATAAGAGACGAATTCCCCGTTGTAAAAGCCTTATCCGGCAACGTTTGGACTACGAGGAGCGCCTCAAAGGTCTACTACAAGGACTGCAGGAGGACCTTGAGCAAGCCCGGATATCCTTGAACAAACAACAAAACAAGGAGCTGGAGTTGATCGCCGGCTTGCACAAGGCCACTCAGAAATTAAAAACCTGTGTAAAGAAAAAATTATAACAAATCCTCCTCCAGCAAAGAAGCTACCGAAGAAGATTAAGGAATGTCCCAAAGACTGCCCAGGCCACCTGGAGAGCCCACACTGCGAAACAACGTGTGTTAAACCTGTGCGATGACCGGCACCGGTACCGCCTGAGCCCATAGGCCCAGGACAGCTGCAGCAGTTATTAAGCGTGGAAGGCACGACCGCCACCTGCGCCTTCGAAAGAACGTCAGCGTAGCCAAACCGGCGACGACCAGCTGACGTAGAAAGAAGAAAAAGAAACCAACCAAGCTGAAAACAAATTTTTTTTCACCCATGCACTGCGTTGCATAATTTTTTGGATTGCACTACGATGCATATTTTTTTTATATAATATAATATTTTGTAAAATTGAGCGGAACTTTTTCTGCCCGATTAGACGTGTAGCCCGTAAAGCTATGCAAAAAACTAGGCAGGTTTTCCATTGTTAAAACAATACCTACGGCCCAATACGGCAAATTTTTAATTAGATGAGCCAAATTAAATGGCAAATAAACTATAAATTAAATTATACGAATCATAAAAACAGTCCTTTAGCAACTAACAGAAAAACACCCAAAATGGGTTTAGTAGATGTAAAAGAAGTGGACTCCACTGCAAATGTCATAAATAAAATCGAGTCCAAAACAGTAAATACAGATCTAACGAACATTTTATTATCAATTATTGTCTTTATTCTGAGCGCATTTATTTTGTACAAGGCATATATTTTTCACAACAAATGTATTTCAAAAAGAGCCATACATAAAAGCCAGGCTAATGATCTGGACAAAATATAAAATATATAAAGCGCCAAAAATAATTATTAACAAGATGTTCGAAATAAACAAAAAAAAAAGAGAAATAATAGAAAACTATCTTATATAAATATGTATGACCATATATTAATATATTTAAAAATCTTATCTAATGTACAACGAAAACAAATGAATAAATAAAACAAAAAATAAATAAATAAAAACATATATATACAAAAATGAAAACTACAGAGTGTATTAGAATCACTCTTGATAAGGAGCCAAACTTTCAGAATAGGGTATTATCAATTATCGAAAAAGGAACTGAGGCTCTACTCATAAATGAATTAGAATATGAGTACATGAATAGGTACAACTTAGACTTTTCTCCACTAATACATTGCTCATATACGCAAAAAGCAATTATATTGACCACCATCCCAGGTGTAAAAGTAAAATCCGTCATAAAAGAACATTCCATACTTGGTAGAACACTAGATTTTGGTGTATATAAAACAACTTAGTATGGAATGGGATCAATTAGCAAAACAAATCAGGGAAATAAAAGAGAAATTCGAAAAATCTTACAAATGTGTAAGCCAGAATAGGTTAATCCAAAGAGAGACAATAAACAAACATGCGAGAATACTTGTCGAATCTTTTAACGAGGCAAGAATATTAGTGCATGAAAACAGGAGGACAATAAATGAAACAAACTGGTCAAAAATATCAAAATTATTGAACAAGTTACGTTCAAATTTAATAACAGTCAAAGAAAGGTATAAATTAGATATTTTTATACCTACAATCCTAAATACCCCTTTGACAATAGATACTAAGGAAAAACAAGAATTACCAGACCAAATAGAACTAGAATCAGCTGAGGAAGAAGATTCAGAATCAATCGAAAATGTTGATATAAAAGAAAAAGATCTACACGATCTAATAATTCCGGCGGTTATAAATTTACCGGAACAGGAAGAAGAAATTGAGGAGGAGAAAGAAGAAGAAGAATTAAACTCCTTAACAAGTGTAATTGAGACAACAGCATACATAATGACGGACGCAGCTGCCCAACGGGCCTACATAAAAGACATCTCAAATGCCATCCCAGAATTTAATGGGCAAAAACTTAATCTTCAAAGATTTATAACGGCCTTGAAGTTAGTCAACCTGACAAAAGGCACATTTGAGGACATAGCTGTTGAAGTAATAAAGTCCAAAATAATAGGATCTACCCTATACAAAATACAAAATGAAAACACTATAAGTGCCATTATAAAAAAATTGCAAGATACTATAGTCGGTAAAACATCTGACGTAGTAAAGGCAAAAATGGCAAAGACAACCCAAAAAGGAAAAACTGCTGAAAAGTTTACCTCAGAAATTGATAACTTACGAAAGCTTCTTGAAGCTTCGTATATCGATGAGGGCTTATCAGCCGAACATGCTGATAAATTCAGTACCAAAGAAGCCATCACAACAATGGTCAAAAATTGTGAACATGGTAGACTCAAAACCATTCTTGAAGCAGGAAACTTCAATACAATGAATGAAGCTGTCACAAAGTATATACAATGTAGTACTGAAATGACAGGAAATGCCAATTCAATCCTATACGCTCAAAGAAGCCAAAGCCAGCGTGGAAATTACAATAATAGAGGTAATTATCGCGGCAGAGGCAATGGTCGCGGTTATTATAATAATCATTATAATAATAATCATTATAATAATAATCATTATAATAATAATCATTATAATAATAATCATTATAATAATAATAATTATAACAATAATTATACACGCAACATGATAGGGATTCCTGTAATAAGGAAAACAACCTTCACGTTTGAGTTCTGTATTAAAACTGATTTTATTTTTCTAAGTCTTCGCTTATGTAACTAACATGAAATTCTTATAATATACTTATCTATGGTCTACGCAGAGACCACATCTGTTTGCCTGAGCGGGAGCCTTATCAACGGCCTCCTGCAATGCGACCCTTTTCTGCAGTGTGAG